ATCTAGGCATGCAGACTGCTTCAACAAACATTTGTGAAAGAATGGGTTGCTCTCAGGAGCTCAGTGAATTCAAGCGTGGTACCGTGATAGGTTGCCACCTGTGTAATAAGTCCATCCATGACATTTCCTTGCTACTAAATATTCCACGGTCAACTGTTAGTGGTATTATAACAAGGTGGAAGCAACTGGGAACAACAGCAACTCAGCCACCAAGGGGTAGGCTACGTAAAATAACAGAGTGGGGTCAACGCAAGCTAAAGTGCACAGTGTGCAGGAGTCACCAACTGTCTGCAGAGTCAATAGCTAAAGACCTCCAAACTTGGTGTGGCCTTAAGATTAGCACAACAACGATGTGTAGAGAGCTTCATGGAATGGGTTTCTATGTCTGAGCAGCTGCTGCCAATCCTTACATCACCAAGTGCAATGCAAAGAGTTGGATACAGTGGTAAAACACACTGCCACTAGACTCTAGAGCAGTGGAGATGTGTTTTCTGGAGTGACGAATAACGCTTCTCTGTCTGGCAATCCGATGGACATGTCTGGGTTTGGCGGATGTCAAGAGAACGGTACTTGCCTGACTGCATTGTGCAAAGTGTACGGTTTGGTGAAGGGGGGATTATGGCCCTTTAGTTCCAGAGAAGGGAACTTTTAAGGCATCACCATACCAAGACATTTTGGACAATTTCATGCTCCCAACTTTGTGGGAACAGTTTGAGGATGGCCCCTTCCTGTTCCAACATGATTGTGCACTAGTGCACTAGTGCACAAACCAAGGTCCATAAAAACATGGTTTGGGGTGGAGGAACTTGACTGGTCTGCACAGAATCCTGACCTCAACCCGATAGAACACCTTTGGGATGAATAAGAACAGTGACTGCGAGCCAGGCCTTCTCGTCTGACATCAGTCCCTGACATCACAAATGCACTTCTGGAAGAATGGTCAAACATTCCCATAGACACACTCCTAAACCATGTGGACAGTCTTCACAGAAGAGCTGAAGCTGTTATAGCTGCAAAGGGTCATTATTGAACCCTATGGACTAAGACTGGGGTGCCATTAAAGTTCATGCAAAGGCAGGCGTCCCAATACTTTTGGCAATATAGTGTATATGCTATTCTACTTATACTGAAATGAACGGAACATTTGGGTATATTACACTGTCTGACACCAGATGTATGACATATGACATATCTGGTTGTGCTGATTGATATTCTTTATATTACATCTTACTATATGTTTCAACTGCCTTTCTTGAACTTTTCATGCCCCCTTTTTTGATCTCCGAGGTTTGGCTTTTTGCAAGGTGTTCTTCTACCTGGGTTAGGTTGAAGAATTACTGCAAGATGTGTCTCAGTCATGGCACCTGCTGATAGCTTTGCTAATGCAATCTTTGGGCATGCTACACCACCTGACAGCATATACTACACTGCACAATAAGGCTGGCCATACATTATACAATTATCTGGAGATTTTTGGTTTAGATTTACCAAAAACCATATAATAGGAGGACAAACCTAAACAACACTTTCAGTTGTATCCAATTAGGCAGGCCATTGCACTACACAGTTGAAGGTAAATGTAAAGGAAATTGGGCAGAAAATTGGAAGATAATTGTATAATGTATGGCCAGCCTAAGCCTGGCTGTGTTGATTGACATGCTTATAGTCCATGCTGTGTCATATGCTGCAACCACTTTGCTCAACAATGTTCAACATTCTGTGCATACTGCTTTGATCTTCTTTGATGAGCTTTGATGCTCCTTGTAATGTGGTTAATTTTTTTTTTTTGCTTGTGCTGCATGGATATATTGTTACAAGATGTGTCTCAGTTTCCCACCACAGGAAAACGCCTTGCAGTTTCTGGTGCATGGGTGCTATGAAGAATTAATGGCACCCCACGCATCTGCTAAAAGCAGTGAGTTTTTGCTGCGGGTGTGGGAAAGCATTCAATTTACACACAGTCCTGCATATATGTGAACCCAGCCTAAGTGATATAGTTTTGGATGATTTCGTAATAAGTGTTAATCATCAATTGATGGGTAGTATGTATACATCTGTGTTTGTTTGATACATGATAGTTTTGTGATACATAAGTCTCAGATATTTGTGACAGCTTGGTCTACTTACCAACAAAATAAGGTCCTGCTTATGTAGAGTAATTTGTTTTTAACGAGGTTCTTTTTTGTAAGTGTTTTTGTGCAATGAATTAATACAATTTTCAATTTTGTGGTATGAATTAATACAATTTTCTATATATTTTATTTCTATTTTTTGAACATTATGCATTGTACACTCACTTCTGCATTCATATTGCATAGTATTACTTAGTAGGTGCTGAACCATTGTTACTGTGTTCTTAATTAAAAAATTAGTTAAGAATTTTAGATAGATAGATAGATAGATAGATAGATAGAAATATTTTTTTCACAACAGTGGTAGAGCATTAAAGTAGAAGTCCAGGCTTGAACTAACTAAGCTAAAACTTCTCCCACCCCACTTCTAACTCCTATGCTTATACTTATTCTCAGGGTGTTCCAGTCCACTCTCCCAGCAGTTGGCTTCAGGGGAGAGGGAGGACAATTGACAGTGGATGCCCCATAGTAAGCCTATGCATTCTATCCATTGTCAGAGCTCTCTCCTTTCCAACCACTGGTTGGAAGCAACCAACCACTGGGGAGACCACACGACCAGACTGGAGCCCTCCAAGAATAAGCATCTTCCTTTTACAGGGTAGTTAGTATAGGAGTTAGAAAGGGGGTGAGAGGATTTAAGCATAGTTTTGGCCTGGACTTCTACTTGAAGTGTTTTAAAAGTATTTTTTCTATAAGCTCTTGAAGGCAAATAAAGCAGAGCCATAATACGTTGAAAGAAATATTAAACCCCAAACCAAAAATGTATTATATTGTAGCTTACAATCATTATATTTGGTGGCTGCACCAGTTATCTTTTCTTTGGCTTTTTTCCCTCTGTTTTCACCTTATGATCTGGCCAGTAACACACTTCTTGTATTAGTGAAACACCACTTTGGATGAATGAGCACAAGATACAGAAGACAGCAGCATTTTCAGTTTGGGAGGGATGGTAGTGTTAAATGTATTAGCAGATTTGAATACAAATAACACATTGAAGCCAAACTCCAGCTCTCATGTTATAATCAGTGACAGCAAATATTTTTTTTCCTTTTGGGATAAAGGTTTTACATGAATAAATAAAAGCTGATCATTTAAATCAACCCTGCCAGTGGTAAATGGATTGTCTCATCCGTTAGCTGATATATTCTTCTGGGGAACTCGAATTTCTAAAAAACAGCAGAGTTGCTGGCTGAATTGCCAGATGAAAATAGAAGAAAGCCAAAAAATGAAATTCATACAGCCATTGCATCTAAGAATTGGTAAACTGCAATGTAGTAAATGTTTGTTTTTGGGTTTTATGCTGCTTTAAGGTAAAAAACCTTCTCTGAACAGGATCTCCCCAGCTCCCCTAAATACTTACCTGAGCCGGATCTTGTTCCATTGCTGGTAGCAAAAGCAGAGGTGCTATTCTCTCTCTCTCTTTACTTGACATGAAGGCAGCAGTGGGAGCAACTAGCTCCTGTTGCTGTGAATCACAGCCAGTGGGGAGAGAGCAGGGGGTGGGGTCATGCCACGTTCTGTATGTCTATAGACACACAGATCCTGACTCGGAATCGAGAACACACAGGTGCTCTCATAGCAAGCTGCTTACTATGGGAACCTTTGGCAGGGGGGCAAGGAGCACCAGTGTGGGAACCCAGAAGAAGAGGATCCCAGCTGTTCTGTGCAAACCCATTTCACAGAGCAGGTAAGTATACCATTTTTTTTTAATTAACGCTTAATCACTTTAAGACTTAAGACCTGAATAGGTGTAACTATACAATGCAAACATGAAATCCACCGCAGATAACCACATACAGTACTGTAGGTATACCTCTTTGACCCAATGGAAAGAACAGCAATACATTTTTGCTATTTAAATAGAGTTTAAAAGCAGTATTAGTTTTTCCTTTAGATGAAGTATGCATATCCATATAGGCAACAGAGATAAATAGAAAGCTTGTCCCTGTTTAGTAACTGGCTGAGAATTATTGTCCCACTATCAGAACAAATGCAATCATTTTATATAAGCTTATTTACTATTTACTACAACGTTATACACCAGGCTAGAACCAGTAAAACAAGAATTATTCTGTGTGGAAGAAGTGACCTTAGCTAAAGGGTGTTACTTTGAGTACCCACAGGCTCCAGTGATGGAAACCTATCCCTTTGAAACCCTATAAAGCAGTAAATGTGACATTCACTGAACAATCACCATATATTTACTAGTGAAATCATTTACTGCATTTACAAAACACATTCACTGGGGAGATTCACCAGATTAGATGTAGTATGAGGGTGCTTTTCTTTTTTTTCAATGGCCGTATTTTAATTATAAAAGCACACATTTTTCAACTAAATTCTAAGAGTTTGTATGTATTCTTGCAGGCAGAGTTAGTTACCTTCTGTCATATTGTACTGGAGGTATCTGCATTTACATGATTCTGTGTTGGACACAACTTGATCTATTTTAAAAGAAGAAAAAAAATCTGAATTTGCAGGTGACTGTTCCTCGTGAATGGGTTTTAATATTATAGTACCTGATTCCACAGTGAATATTTAGTGAATTTCACATTCAGTGCCTTATAAATATGCCTCTTACAATTTTTTTTGCTGAGACAAATAATAAAGATTTATTTAATTTTTTACATTTCCAAAATATCTTCTAGTGACATTTTGATATCAGTATACCTAAATTATAGGGAAATCATATTATATTTACATTTCAAATACTGTGTCCCTATTTGCCAATATTTGGTTAAAAAAAACTTATCCTTTTTGTTTCTTTTAGTTCCAGTTTTCCATAAAATATGTTATATATACAAATACTGTGTAATATTTAAATGTGGGAAGGGCCTTTTGGATGCAGCACATTTCAACATGGACCACTTAAACATGTGTTGGTGGCTGCCCATTTTCTCCACCATGACGAAAACTTCCATGATAAGTGGTAGCACGAAAGGTATATGAGTGGCCTCGCAGCGACCCATCCGGTTGGCTGGTTTGCAGTTTGTCTTTACAGCCAAAAAACAAGAGAAATCCATTTCTGTAGTTCTTATTCATCCATCCATAAAGGAGGGGGTTGGCAAAGGTAGAGCACATGGCAATAACATGAAATATGGAATAGAGAAGCTTGTACTCTTGAAAAACAAGGCCACAGTCCAGGTCTATAGCCACCTGAAAAACATGGAAGGGAAGCCAGCAGACTGCAAATACAACCACCATCATCACCAACATCTTAGTTGTGTTTTTTTTTCTTCGTTGGTGTGTTTCACTTCTGGGTGTAGGGCTTATATGATTCTTTAGCTTCAGCCAGATCCTGATATAGCAGTAGCAGATTACCACCAAAGGCAGAATGTATTGCAGAAGAAGCATTGACACACTGTAGATGGCTGCATCCCTATTATTATTTGAGGGCCACTTCTCTGTACATACAGTTATTGTGAGATTGATGGTTGGTAAATCCTCATATCTATACTCTCGGAAGATAGCAAGGGGAATAGCAAAGATGGAAGCTGCCACCCATGTGATGGTGATAATCAAGAAACTAAACTTCTTGGAGATCCGACTACTGAGGTGGAAAACGATGCACCAGTATCTATCTAAAGCTATGACAATCAAAGTGAGAGTGGAGACATTCACACTCATAGCCTGGGCATAAGGAAACAGATGACAAAGTACTAAGCCAAATTTCCACTCATCCAGTAGTGTGTAGACCAGGGTAAAAGGCAGGCACAGACTGTCTACCATGAGATCTGCCACTGCCAAATTGGCTATGAAATAGTTTGTTACTGTCCTCATGTTTTTATATTTTACAATCATGTAAATGACCAAGGAATTTCCAACAAGGCCCAAGAGGATAATTAAGGAATATGCCATAATGAGAATCACCTGAACTCCCAGAATATTGGTGCTGTCCATCATGATGCTGGTCCCATGGAAAGACTGTATGGGGTTAACCGTATTCTTTGAATGCCACCCCTTTGAGCCAAGTACCTGTGTCATGTTGGTTTGCTTTAATGTTCCCATTTTTGCCAAAAACATCCCTTGGTTTCACCTAGAACTGAATGAAAAAATAGCGATCATTAAACAGATTATGGAAAGAAAACATTGTATTGCCCTTTGTCCCTACTACGACAGCAAAATGTTTATTGAATTTGGCACAAAAGTATGGTTATAAATGTAACATTCAATATTTGACACCATGGCTAATGGCTTTATTATGATGATGGAGCATGGTGTAGAATTTTTTGCACTATGATCACATATGGTAACATATCTGGTCACTGTTTGACTTTATTTTTCTGAACACCAACACAGTAGAACAGTTGATTCTTTCTGACAATTATGAGCAGATTACATCCTATATGACCACCATGATCACATTATGTAGGGCTAAAACTCTTTTTTCTATTTCTAATATTTTATGACCTTGAGAATCCATAGGAAGTGAGGAAAAATCTTTCCAGTGGTGTCACGATCCCACGGTCGCTGCCACCAATATGTAAGGATTGTGGTGTCAGACCCCAGACCTTCTCACCCAAACTCGTGACCGAAGGACCAGCCGATCTAAAACCGCGATGTGACGTGCGTAACAATGCCACACCCAGCTGCACCCTGCACAATGATTTTCCAGCTAACGGACCACAATCGATGTACCGGCAGCCTGAGCAATTGTTACTGGGTCAGGTTAATTACGCAATTAACCCTTCACACTACCACCACCTCCTTTTTGTACAGGGAAAGAGGAAACTCGGCATTATCAGCTATAACACTATAATGATTGAAATAATCAACTGCATAACATGGTCATAACACAGGCCTGTTATACAGAGGGTTAAACAAACAGTAGCGTTCTCTTTAGAGGCAGGGATTCGTAAATTGCAAAACAGTTCAACACTTTCAGAAAGAAAGATTTATTACTAAAAGGTCAAACGGGTGCAATAAAAATATTTACAGAAAAAAAGATATAACTAAGATATATATATATATAAAAATATACAGAGAATAACAGCACAGCAAAGAGATATCAGAGAGAGGTGAAAGGGTTAAGGTACTTGCCAAAGTCCTGGGTTAGCAGATCCAAGTTTCAGAGCAAAAGGCAGGGGTCTTCCCAGGTGGTATTGATGTTAAAATGGGAGACATCTTCAACTTAACTTATCTTAGCCTGACAGCCTGTTTTATCCCCAGCAGGGGGAGGCTCTGCAGTTAAGGACCAATCTCCGCTTAGGGCGTGGAGAGATGGGTGGATGCCTCAACTAGAGCAAAAATCTCCCGTAACTCATATTTGGCCTATAACTTTTCCTATGCACAAGTGACATCCCACCCGCAGGTAGATTTATTATGCAGACAAGTCTGAGGATTGATTAGATATGAATTATGAAAGTGTATGCTAAACGGTTTTGCGAGATCTATTTTTCTGCTTTCCTGTGTGTCCGAGACAAGGCGAGTGACCCATCAAACTGTTCGCCTGCTCATCGTCCATCTGACTATATGCTCGGTTTTTATGTACGTCTCTCATATTCCAAGATATGAGACATAGGGGAAAATGGTTTTAACAGAGGTTATCTGATTCTGTCACCTAAGCTGAGTTAGGTTTTATTAAGTTGGAATCTCTCTCAACTCCTGAGAAAGCTTGCCTTATCTCTTCCGAGGTGTGATATGGGACAGCTCGTCCAGACAGCTAGGCACCTAGCTCAGAGATACCTTGGCGTGCCAGTGACCCACAACCAGCACACACACACATGCTGGCCAAATGTCTCCTCTCAGAGAGGGAGGGGGAGGGAAGAATAAGGGAGAAATGGATACTCTTAACAAAATGGAGTCTGCGTCCTTCACTGTGTGTTGCACACGTTTGCGACAAGTGGGGACACAGACAGTGGTAAAAACCTGAAAAATGAAGATAGAAGGCACTGAATCCAAGGGTGACTTAATCCCACAACATGAGTATAAACTATAATGAAAAGTACAAGGGCTCTGGTAGGCATCTCACAGGCATGAAGGAGAGCTCTAGAGGGTTCATAGAATTTGACTGGTGCAGAAGACTGGTTGTTAAAGATGTTATCTTGTTGTAAAATGTCAAAAGGATAACCCAAAGTGGAAATTTGTATGGTTTCAGGAATGAATAAGTTAAAAGTTATAACATTTAAAATCTAAAGACCAAAAGCAGGTTCCAGCAGCTAAAAGTAAAAGTCCTGATAAAATTGTGACAGAAGTTCTACCCTTCTCCACGCTAAAAGATTTGTTTTAGTTAGCCTTCTACTTATTGACTTGCTGTGCCCAAATGCTGGGCCATTCAAATTGACTTCAGCATTTTCCCACCCACTCTCACTTTCCAGGCATTGAGGTAGCCAATCATGGTGATAAGTCAAAATAAGTGTATGAAGGTTGAACGGAGCAGGCAAGCTGCCTGATCAGAATGGCCTGGCATTTGGGTGTGTGCACTTGATAATTTTCTGCAGTTTTCTTGTTTTTTTAAGTGACAGAGTAATTAATACTAACAATAACAACGTAATTCAATCGTATTTGCTAAAATGCATTATTTAGTTTGCTACATTTTTTAAGGATGGATGAGGAAATGATTTGCAAATCAGAATGAGAACTGAAAAATTTGGCTCACTAGAATATATGTGTAATAATTTCTAATTAATATTTAAAATCATATTCACAAGTCCAAATTTAATTTTAAGCCCTACTTAAAGCTCTTAATTCAAAGCTTAGTTTTGGATGGACATTTCCTTTATTGTGTAACAGAAAATGCCTACAAGAGTAGCCGTATCAACCTATTAAGTAAGATCTCTTTTAGCTTTATTAGCAAAACATATAAATATTTTACTATAATGTGTGAACTGAGATCTACTTTTAATGAAAATTAAAAGACATCTACAGGGAACACGCCAAGATGTTTAATAGAAATATGTTAAATTAATTCACTGACACAGCTTGTAAAAAAATCACAAATTACTTCAAAATTATCATTATAAATGTTTTCAAATACATGCAAAGTATAATCACAATTATCACAAAAGAAATAGGGATATTAAAGCTGAATGCCTTTGAAAACCAACAGAAAAATACTTTGTAACGTTCTTGGCTCCACTATAAACTAGCAACACTGAATACTAATTTTTTTGCTAACAGTTTAACAAGTTTAATATACAACATTTCATCAAAAATCACCATAAATGATGTCACATAATTCCATGTCCATCCATATACAGAACAATATATGTTATATGAGGACCTCTGATAAGCCAAATCTGCTATTGTCCTGCTTAGGACAATATAGGCATATCTATTGCCTATAAATCCACTATTATTTCCATAAATTCAGATTATTCATCACATATACAGTATATTTGTCAGGAATGGACTTGCCAATGATTGTGAGACTCACCTGCCTTGTGGGCTGCAGTACCAGGGCTGGCCAGCGGGTGCTCTCAGCAACCAGAAGCTCACTCCTGCAGTCAGCCATCACCTGAGGCTGATTGCAGGAGGTGTATTTAAGGAATGGCCAGACCTGAGGTCAGTGCCTTGGTGTATGTTTCCCATGAGCCCCTGTACCTGCATCCTGTCTGCTTCCTGCCTGATTCCTGATTCTGCTTGATCCTGACCCTAAATGAACTCCGCCTGTCCTGACCTCGGCTATTCCTGACCACTCTCCAGCCTGCTCCTTTGGTACCTTGTCTGCATGATTGTTCCTGACCCGGCCCGTCTGACTATGCTCTGCCTACTCCTTTGTGTCTTGTCTGCCCGATGGTTCCTGACCCGGCCTGCCTGACCACTCCACCTCACCAGCCCTGACTGCTCTTATCTGTGTATATTCCGTTATCAGTTGGAGGTTTTGTTTTGTTATTTTGTGTGTTATATTTGTGTATAACCCTTAATAAATTATATTGTTACACCATACTTGAGCCTGCGTTTCCCTGTGTCAGTTCACGCATCTCTGGTCTTACCGGGAGCCCTGATAATATTTTTTAAATTCCATAGCCATGTAAATTTAGCTTTGTTCAGTCAGGAACTCAGGAGTGCTATACGGAATAATACAATATAAAACTTATATTTATGATAACACACACAATGTCAGTAAATCAAATGTTATTGTTGCCAATATCCCCCCACTGGAACACACATTCTATTGCATATGCCATATGTCATGACATCAAGCTAAAAGATCTCCCCAATGTGGGGTCTCAGGAGGAAACAGGCTGTAACCTACATGGATAAAGCACAATACATAACCATATTAGTGTCAAAATTCTCCCATAGACCAACAGAAGAATCTACCATATGGCATTCACCTGCAGTAATATCATTCAGTGTCCTTGAGTTTGCATAGGGCATTTATTTCTGCCAATGTCACACCACCCCTGCCCTTTTATTTTAATGGCTGCGGACTCCTGGCCATTAAATGAATAGGTCCAGGTGACATAATTGGTCACTGAGAAAGGGGGGGGGGGTTGCCTATAGAGAGGGATGGTCTCCAGGCAGGAATGAGCTCTGTTGAGTGAATGGAGTGTAATGTCCTTAGTGTGCGTCTTTTCCTTTTATGTCCTAATACTCCTGTTGCTTTCTCCATAATGACTTCTCAAGACTAGAATTTTAAAGGGAATGTATAGTATTTCTGCACATATACATATATACAGTTATGCTGCTGCAGAAATATTGATACATTACGTTTTTCAGGAAATCCATCTCTGTTTTGAAAGTTGTGATTTTTATAACCACATAATTTATTGACCCAGGAATGAGCCATTTTAATTAACTGAGCAAATTAACTGGGATCCAGCAGCATAAAAATCCAAAATTAACACATATCTTGATCTCCCGGGTTTATAGGTAATTGCCTAGTGACCTGACCTGACCTGCGGTATTAAAACTAAGATAAAGGAGAACAATTGCTCAGGCATGGAAGAACCCGTGTG